ATATTAATGATCGTGAAACAGTAAAGTGCTAACAGGCACTGTATTTTTTTTTTTTTTTTTGAGACGGAGTCTTGCTCTGTCACCAGGCTGGAGTGCAGTGGCACAATCTCAGCTCACTGCAACCTCCACCTCCTGGGTTCAAGCGATTCTTCCGCCTTAGCCTCCCCAGTAGCTGGAACCACAAGCACGTGCCACTACCACCGGCTAATTTTTTTCTATTTTTAGTAGAGACGGGGTTTCACCATGTTGGCCAGGATGGTATCGATCTCTTGACCTCGTGACCCACCAGCCTCGGCCTCCCAAAGTGCTGGGATTACAGGCATGAGCCACCATGCCCGGCAATAGGCACTGTATTAAGGAGGTAAGATTATAGGCGTTTTTATCCCTGTTTTCTATATTTTCTATAATGTTAATACTCTTGTGTTACAATCAAAATATTTTAACATCTTAAAAATTATTTTTAAATGAAGCCTTCTTTCTAACGAAGTTTAACCCCTCCTCTTGCCTATAATCCTAAGTACATTCCCTCCCACTCATCTAGGATCTGGTTCTACCCATTCTATTCCTTTGTGTTATCTCAAACTCCTCCCCTGATTCACTAAATGATAAGATTCCTAAACGGAATCTTTACTCCTTCTCTTCACTGTCATACTTCTTAAGGAAAAAAATTTCAAGATAGCTTTCTCCAATTCTAATAACCCATTCACTTTTAGGTATATTATAATCTGAATTCTTTTTCTATTATGTCATTCTAACAATGTTGGTAATTCTTAATGTCCAAAGTTAGTTAATGTTATTTTTACTTTATTTTTAGAGACAGGCTCTCATTTTGTCATCCAGACTGGAGTGCAGTGGTGTGATCATAGCTCCCTGGAAACTTGAACTCGCAGGCTCAAATTATCTTCCCAGCTCAGCCTCCCAAGTAGCTAGGATTACAGGCACACGCTACCACACCTGGCTAATTTTTTCTCTTTTTTGTATAATAAGGCTCTTGCCATATTGCTCAGGCTGATGACAAACTTCTGGCCTCGAAAAACCCTCCTGCCTGCTGGGCATGGTGGCTGTAATCCCAGCACTTTGGGAGGCTGAGGTGGGCAGACCACTTGAGGTCAGGAGTAGGGGACCAGCCTGGACAAGATGGCGATAGAGACAAGCCTGTCTCTATCAAAAATACAAAAATTTTAAATTAAAAAAAAAAAAAAAAAAAAAAAAAACAAGAAAAAATAATTAGCTGGGTGTGGTGGCATGCTCCTATAATTCCAGCTACTGTGAGGCTGAGGCGCAAGAATTGCTTGTGCTCAGAAGGCAGAGTTTGCAGCAAGCTGAGATGGCACCACTGTACTCCAGCCTGGATGATGGAGTGAGACCCTGTCTCAAAAAACAAAAAACCCTCCTGCTTCAGCCTCCCAAAGTGCTAAGATTACAGGTATGTACCACTGCACCAAGCCTATCAGAGATGGTTTTAACACTGCTGGTCACTCTCTCCTTGACATTCTCTTCCTTGTCCTATCACATTTAGAAAGGAAGGTATGAGAAGTGGGAGGAAGTAAAGGTTTTATAATTGCCCGGGCTGGAAACTGGGAGCTGGTGTCTGCATGTGTGTGAGATCAGATCAGATCAGATCAGAAGCTATAAACTGCAGAACCAATCCAGAAATGGGAACAGGTGTGGTCAAGTAAAGTGGCTGGGAAAATCCAAAGAGGAAACCAGAAAGCAATGTGAGACAAAGGAAAAAAAACATTCTGAGTCTGAAGGGGAAAGTCTTCAAACCCAGACAAACTTTTGTGGAAGCACTATGATGTCTTCAGCTGAGTTTTATTCTCAAATTTCAGTGTGTGGAATCTTTTATTCTCATTGTACCTTAAGGACACTTTCTTATGTTCCTCAATACCACTATCTCAGACTTACCTTTGTCTTCGCTGACTGGTCTTTCTCCAATTTAATCATCCAGGCTTCCTTCTATTTATCAAACATGTATTTATTGAATGACCACCATAAGCCAGGTATTGTGATATGTCATGAAGGTAAACAATAAACAAGATAGAGTCCTTGCCCTCAATAACTCTCCTTATTAACATCTTCTTCACTGACCACCTCATGTCAATATTTCCCAAGATTCTTGTCTTGATTCTCTTCTCTCATTCACACCCATGGGGCATCAATCGTCTCATATTACCCCCTGTCTCCCTGGCTTCTTGACCTGATATCTCATACTGAAGATAGCCAACACTGAATATTCATTTGCCACCAAACTCAAAGAGATCATTAACAACACAGACACTGCTGAGTCATCCATAAACTTCCCTTACCATGTAGATCCACAACTCAGTGGCTTTTTTTAAAGTATCATCTAAAAAACCTCTCAAAAGTGTGGTCTCCTTTCTATTCTTTGTAACTCTACATTAATTCCAGTCCATCAGAACTTTGCAATGTCCTTCTAACTTCTTACTTATCACTGTCTCCCCCTTCCAGTCCATCATAACTACTGACATCAGAATTATCCTTCTAAAAGGGAAATTTTGTTTATTTCTACCCTCATTAAGATCCATCATTGATGCTGTGTCCATATGTTTTATCCTTATCTTTGGGGCCTTCAGATGTCTTCTACGTATTTCTTCTTTATCTTCATCTCTCAACACCCCGCTGGCCAAATAGAACTGTTACGCCTCTCAAACATAGGAAGCTTTGGTTGTGCTCTGGACCTTTTTATGCCCAAAATGCTGTAACCTCATTCTTTCTTCAGACAAATACTGAAACCTTTCGATGTTAGCTCAATTATTACTTTTCCTATTAAGCCTTTCCCATCTCCTCTAAATAGAATTGCACAATCTTTACACTGTGTTCTGTATTCAGTGTGTACTTCTATGAAGGAAGAATCATATGTTTTGTGTTCATTTAGAAAACTGTATACCATTCCTTTAATTATCTGTGAGCCTAAACCTAGAGGTAGGGATCATGTACTTTTCATTTTATTTTGTCCTGTACTCGGAACAATAGCGACCACAAGTCTTTGCTGAAAGAATGCATAACTCACAGACTAAGCAATGAATGGAAAAAGAAACACTTTTCTTTTTCCAGTCATAGTACGAATATTAGGACATAACATGTATCTTCATGTATCTCAATACGTGAGAGACTTGAGGAAAATGAAATGAAGATTAAAGGAGAAAAGAGAAAGAAATCAGAATAAACCACTGGTGTGCACAGAAAACAAAGCTGACATCTGAGAAGGGAGGCTGAGAATCAGAAATCTAAGTAACATCTGCAAAGAAACATCTGCAAAGAGTCTAGTGGAGCAAGAAATATAGGAATCTCGTGAAATCTTTGTGATTTGTCTCTGCAAACCAAAACAAGTTTCATCACTTTATCATCTCAATAAAGACATGGTTATACATAGTTTAGCTCCCCGGGAAAGTGGTAGGAAAAAAAAACTTACACTTGGCCAACAAGGTGTCCGATCAAAAAATTTCCCAGAGTATATGGGTCTGATGCGATCTGGAGGTTCCACTCCTGGTTCATTATTTCCAGCTTCCACTCTCTCTTCGGGTTGTTGAGCAAACTGGCGTTGGGGAGGTTCTATCACCAAGCCCATTTGGGGCTCTGAATTCTTAGTTTCATCTGACTCCTCTGTTTGGGGTAGTCCAATGTCTACCTCCACAGGAGGCTTAATCTCTGTGCTGGGTTTCATCACAACACAGGTGGACTCTTTTTCCACTTCCTGTCTTGGTTCCATACCTAAGGCAGGCTTTCCCACTAATTCCTCTACCCCTTCAGGGCCACTAGCCAAAGGAGATCTCCTGCTCCCTACAGTCTGTGGAATTCCACACACCCTGCCCAAAGGAGGCTGTATTCTGCGTTCATGGGTACATCCTGCAAGAAGACTCTCATTTTCTAACCCCATTCTTCCTGGCAACAGAGAAAATTTTGTTCCCTGTGAGGCTGAGACACTGTCAACTCCTAAACTGGCCCTCTGCATGTGAGTCCTAGAAATATTCTGTCTTTCTAATCCCATGTCAAGCCCCTTGCTCAATTTGGTTTCTGGTGATGCCATCCTTCCCTCATATTTATTACTAACCACAGGGCTCTCCCCGCATTGGGAATCTTCTTTTCCTAATCCCACTCTGATCCCCAACTCCATGGGAAATTTTGTTCCCATGATGACCCTCCTGCCTCCTAAATCATCCTTTCCCTCGTGGGGGTGTCCAATCTCCATATTCAGGGACGATTTCGAAGCCCAAATACTCTCATTTCTCCAAGAGCACTCATCTCTAAGGGGAAAGCTGTACCTGGCTCGAGGGGTGTTTCCAATCCCTTGGGGAACCCCACTCTCACGAAAGAGCACCACCTCACTCGGACTCCCTGCCCACTGCTTCCTGCCTGCCTGCCTCTTAACACCCAGCGGGGTTCACAGAAGAAAAGATGGAGTCTGTTTATCCGGTTACCTGGGAAACAGGGGCGGGGCTTGGCGCTCAATTCCTCCGGGGACGGATCCCCGTTCCCGTCTCATTCTCTCCCCTCTCCCCTCTTACCCTCCTCTCTCCTCTCCTCCCCTCCCCTCCCCTCCCCTCCTCTTTCTCCTCCCTCCCCTTGCCCTTGTCTCTTGCCTGTCCTCTCTTCTTTCTCCCTCTCTCTCCCCTCTCCCCGTCTTCACCTCTAGCCCTGCTTCCTCTCTTTTTCTTTACTATATTTGAAGGGCAAGAAAACTTAAGTGATGTGACTTTGGACGCTAGATCAAATGTTCACCAACTTCTCTGGTTTCCCAAGCAACACAGCCCTTTTAGGATGGTTTCAATGATTGGGTTCCTCCTGGCCATTGGCTTCTTAATGTTGGTGATGATGAACAAATAAATTTTCTGATGATGATCACTTTTTTTAGGTCCTTCCTTATCCAAGTACCTCCAATCTGCATGTAGTTATTTTAGTGATAAAAAAGGACTTTAGCTTCTTCTCCAATAAAACACCAAATGGCGGATGACGCCGGTGCAGGGGGTGGGGGGTGGGCCCGGAGGCCCCGGGGGCCCCGGGATGGGGAACCGCGGTGGCTTCCGCGGAGGTTTCGGCAGTGGCATCCGGGGCCGGGGTCGCGGCCGTGGACGGGGCCGGGGTCGCGGCCGTGGACGGGGCCGGGGCCAGGCCGCGGAGCTCGCGGAGGCAAAGCCGAGGACAAGGAATGGATGCCTGTCACCAAGTTGGGCCGCCTGGTCAAAGACATGAAGATTAAATCTCTGGAGGAGATCTATCTTTTCTCTATGCCCATCAAGGAATCTGAAATCATTGACTTTTTCCTGGGGGCCTCTCTCAAGGATGTGGTTTTGAAGATTATGCCGGTGCAGAAGCAGACCCGTGCTGGCCAGCGCACCGGGTTCAAGGCCTTTGTTGCTGTTGGGGACTACAATGGTCACGTGGGTCTGGGTGTTAAGTGTTCCAAGGAGGTGGCCACTGCCATCCGTGGGGCCATCATCCTGGCCAAGCTCTCCATTGTCCCCGTGCGCAGAGGCTACTGGGGGAACAAGATCGGCAAGCCCCACACTGTCCCTTGCAAGGTGACAGGCCGCTGTGGTTCTGTGCTGGTGCGTCTCATCCCCGCGCCCAGGAGTACTGGCATCGTCTCAGCACCTGTGCCCAAGAAGCTGCTTATGATGGCTGGTATCGATGACTGCTACACCTCAGCTAGGGGCTGCACTGCCACCTTGGGCAACTTTGCCAAGGCCACCTTTGATGCCATCTCTAAGACTTACAGCTACCTGACCCCCGATCTCTGGAAGGAGACAGTGTTCACCAAGTCTCCCTATCAGGAATTCACTGACCACCTTGTCAAGACCCACACCAGAGTCTCCGTGCAGAGGACCCAAGCTCCAGCTGTGGCTACAACATAGGGTTTTTATACAAGAAAAATAAAGTGAATTAACATTGTAAAAAAAAAAAAAAAAAAAAAAAGGACTTTAAATTCTGGAAATGTTATATTTAACAACTGTGGCATAAAAACATCTTAAAGTCCTTGAGAACATTTATACTTTAATAACTAAGCTTTAAATCACATTTAAAGTGAATACTTTAAAGTTTGAGATATGCTACACAATAAGCCATATTGTATCTTTAAATAATGTGGCAAATTAAAACTGTGTTGTTTTTAAGTTGATTTTCTTTAAATTAAGGTTTCACCTCTCAGATTTTAATGAAAGTGTATTTGATAAATATTTGTCATGTTCTACACATATAGATATAAAACACCTAGCTTAGAATTTGAACTGCATTAGGGCAGGCACAGTGGCTCACACCTGTAATCCCAGCACTTTGGGAGGCTAAGGCAGGCAGATCACTTGAGGTTAGAAGTTAGAGACCAGATTGGCCAATATGGTGAAACCCCATCTCAACTAAAATAGAAAAATTAGGTGGCATGGTGGTGAGCACCTGTAATCCCAGCTACTCAGGAGGCTGAGGCAGGAGAATCGCTTGAACCTGGAAGCAGAGGTCGCAGTGAGCCAAGATCGCACCATTGCACTCCAGCCTAGCTGACAAGAGCAAAACTCAGTCTCAAAATAATAAAAAAAATAAAAAAGGTGAGTAAGGTTTGCTAGGGAGGCCAAGGCAGGAGGATCACTTGAGATCAGGAGTTCACTATCAGCCTGGCCAACATAGTGAAAACCCATCTCTACTAAAAATTAAAAAACTACCTGGGTGTTGTGATGCTCACCTGTGGTCTCAGCTACTTAGGAGGCTGAGGGAAGAGAATCACTTGAACCAGGGAGACAGAGGTTGCAGTGAGCTGAGATCACACCACTGCACTCCAGCCTGGGCACATAGCACAACTTTGTCACAAATACAAAAAACTATATTCTACAACTTTCTAGAAGGTTAATATAAATATTCTTCTCCTGAGTTCTTTTTTTTATGGTGCCAAATTTAAGTAGTTTTATTTAAGACACTGCATTGTCCATGCAGTGCTTATAAAGTACAATGTTAGTTCCTTCCACGTGCATATGTTCCACATTCAAGTATTGAGAATGCCCAAGAATTTACTATAGCAGCTCAATTTTTAAACTGCCACAGACAGCCATAGTGTGACCACGAAGAATATCCTGAAGACAAAGCTAACACACACAAAATAGGACAGCACTGAGATCATCAGGACCAAAGCTCTGATCAAACTATACCTAAAACTCACATAATAATAGATGTATCAATTACACGAGCCAATGTCCCTGCTTTGGTTATCTTATTTTGTCGCATTTTCAGTTATCTTATACCGAAACATATTTATGTCTACCACACCTAACAGTCAACATCCCTTAGGACTTTACCTCCAGGAAACTTTTCATGGCTGGTAAATGCTCTTCTCTCTTTTCCTTTGAGCATCTCCAGTACCAAGAGTCTGAGTCACTCACCTTATCACTTCTCTCTCTCTGACATACACACATACAACAAACTTTTGTGGCATGTTTGTGGTGTTTTACCTAATTTTCTGCCTTTCCCTTGGTTATAGTCCTGACCCTGGTACAAGATAACATTCAACATTTGTTACACTGAACTGTGACTGTCAGTGCTTCTGTCTCCTCCTCTCCTGAAGACTGTTAGCTCCTGAGGGCCTAACAGTCCCTTGACTCAACTCCTCTCTACTTCAATGTTTAATGCTTTGACCCAAAAAGATGAAGCTTAGTAGCGACAGAGATGGAAAGCTGAAGGACAGTCATCCAAGCTTGTTTACTAACATTTTTGTGTCCCTCCCTAGTTACCTGCCTTCATGCCTTTGCCAGAGAGGGAGCCACCTAGGTTCCCTCCACCTGGAATGTCTATTTTCACACATCCCAAATCCTACCCTTTTAATCTCAAGGCCAACTCTGAAACAAGGAAGGGCTGTCATTGACTCGGAAAGGACATGGTAATATTCCGTATCTTGATAGGGATCTCAGTTACACAAGCCTCTAAAAGCGGCTTTGATAAATCACTGTAGAACTGAACAACTGATATTGAACTGGCATGGATGATACTCACACCTTCCAACAACTTTGTGTTATAGATTTGGTTGTATCTCCTCTACAGGAGTTTAAGGCCCACTGCCCCTGTTGACCCAGCCATCTTCCTACATTTCTCAAACACCACCTTCCTCATGAAGCCAACTCAATTTCCTGCCCCAGTTTGGAATAATCTCTTCAATGCCTTTAAAGGCTTACTTTCTCAGCTCTTCTTTTTTTTTATGAGGTTACAGGCCTTTGGGGGCAAATTTTGACTGGGAAAAATTAAACTACATTGATAAAAAAAAATCTGCCACAGAATTTGCTACATATTTGGGTCCTTCAATGTTTTAAGTGTGTGGAACAATGCTACATCTAGACTTGCATTGGCTTATTCAGTGGTGGACTCTAAGGAAGCACCACCAGAAGGAAGAAATCCACCAACAATGAATCCTCTAGGCATTCCTCCTGCACTCTGCTACAGTTTGGTAATGATGGGATTGCAGACTTTCTCCAGCTCTTTCTGCTGATGTTCAAATTCTTCCTTCTCAACATCCTGATTCTTATCTAGATCCACTTAATAATTTCATCATACCTGAAAGAATCTTCTGTTTGTCATCATGAATCATCAAGAATCTTGCCTTGAAGTTTCTCATCTTCAACAGTTTGAAAATGTTCATCATAATATGTTAGGAAAAAAAATGAAGAGTTTTTTTTCCTTTTTTTTTAGTAGAGACAGGGTTTCACATGTTGGCCAGGCTGGTTTCAAACTCCTGACTTCAGGTGATCTGCCTGCCTCAGCCTCCCAAAGTGCTGGGATTACAGGCATGAGCCATTGTGCCCCAGAAAGTAAAAAAGTAGCCTGATGTGTGAGTGCAGTGGTTGTTCACAGGTGCGATCCCACTACTGGTCAGCATAGGAGTTTTGATCTGCTCCGTTTCAGACCTGGGCTGGTTCACCCCTCCTTAGGCAACCTAGTGGTCCCCAGCTCCCGGGAGTTTACCATATTGATGCCGAACTTAGTGTGGACACCCTATCGGCATGGCGCACTACAGCCCAGAACTCCTGGACTCAAGTGATCCTCCAGCCTCAGCCTCCCAAGTAGCTGGGACTAAAGGCACGCACCACCGTGCCTGGCCATAAATTCTTTAAATGACTTTGCAGTGTGTAAATCAAGGCAACTTTGTATAAGGGCTCATTCAATTCATTCATTCGTTCTACAAAAAGGTATTGAGTCCCTCCCCATTTTGTGTCAGTGTTGGGAATACAACGGAATACAGTTGGCCCTCTGTATTCTGTAGAAAGCATTTGAGTTAAAAAAAAAAAAAAAAAAAAAAAAGGCAGTCGGTCATGGTGACTCACACCTGTAATCCCAGCACTTTGGAAAGCCAAGGCGGGCAGATCACCTGAGGTCGGGAATTTGAGACCAGCCTGACCAGCAAGGAGAAATCCCATCTCTACTAAAAAATATAAAATTAGCCAGACATGATGGCACGTGTCTGTAATCCCAGCTACTTGGGGGTGGGGGGGCTGAGGGAGGAGAATTGCTTGAACCTGGGAGGCAGAGGTTGAGGTGAGGTGAGATTGTGCCATTGCACTCTAACCTGGGCAACAAGAGTGAAACTCCATCTCAAAAAAAAAAAAAAAAAAGCAATATAAAATAATACAAATTGAAAAAAACACAACTATTTACCTATCATTTACATTGCATTAGGTATTGTAAGTAATCTGAAGATGATGTAAAGCATACAGAATAGCCTACATGTAAATACTACGCCATTTTATGTGAGACTTGAGTATCTGCAAATTTTGATACCCACATGGTGGGGGAATAGGGTAGTATCCAAGAACCAGTCACCAGCAGATGGACTGACTATATAACCCAATCCCTATCTCATGGAGCTTATATTCTAGTAGGGATAGATAACCATCAAGTGGAACGCATATCTTATCAAATAGTGTTAAGTGTTATTTGTTAAGATATAGAAGACATGAAGACAACAGTCTGCTTTTATGTTTAAGAAAGCACTTTAGAATTAGTGGACTTAGAAGTCCTGTAGGTAGGTGACATTGAGCTAAAGCCTGAATGATGTTCTCCAAAGGCACAAGCTTTTCAAACATGACTAGCTCAAGCTTCACAGCCTTTTTCACTAACTTGTTACCATGCCAATGTTAGAGTTACCGTTGGTTTGTCTCCAGAAAAAATTTTGAATTGTCTCCAGATAGTTCCAATTAAAAGTAAATGAAACCATTCATTATCATCTATTCAAAGATTCATTCTTCAGCTACATAAGGGAGGACAGATTTCCTGGAAGAGATGGAAAAGGATATGGGGTGCTGTGAATGGTTGGGAGACACCTGCCACTGGGAATTTGTGATTGAGTATTTAGAGATTTGAGGGCAGTATAAGCACTAATGTTTAAGTCTTTATGATTATTTATCCATTTTGTAGCTTCCTTAACAAATTCTATCAACTGATAGGATTCTACATTTGACACTAAAATATATACAATTATCAGTCCTCCTCATTTATCTGGGGTTATGAAAAAGAAAACACAGACATATTGCAAGTGGCAGTACAACAGAGCTTTACCATGGCATTTCAATTTCTCTAAAATTACTACCGGATCTTTAGAAGTGCCAGCCACCGGGGCAGCACTCTTCCAGGCAAACATTATGACTAAACTGTAAAATATTGTGAGATATATTCATGAAGGAGGTGAAGACAAAATCAAACAGAAACGAGTGAGGAAGCAACATACTGAAACGATGAAATAGGGAGGGTTTTTTTTGGCAATTTATAAATTTCAGCATCGAATGTTTTAGTTGTGAGGTCTTCTTAGTCTAATGTTCACCATTCTAAACATAATTAAGTTCACCAATACTTTGGGGGTCTCTACTATAGCAATCAAAGGTCTTCTGTGAAGAGCTGAAATGATGAATAAGTGATAGTCCC